GTCATTGCAAGAGGGCTCAACATATGCATATTTTAGTCCAATTTTAACTAAACTTCGTTTTGTTTTAAATCATAAGGATACGTTTAAATCAAAAGCTTGATTTAGGAATTATTTCATTTTCGAAAATCATTTCTTTTCTCGCTTCTGCTCGATCAAATCATCAACAAAAGTAGATGCAGATCTTTATCAGAAAACCAACAATTGTACGCCTTTATAAAGACTGCTCGAAAGTTAGTACTTTCTCTAAGGTTTAAAAACATGAGAATTAAACTCACTTTAAAGCTAACTGACTGCCTCTCAACTTTCCTCGCGTGGCATAATACACAGGAGCTAAAACCAGGCCCAAAACAGCCCCCGCCTGGAACCCCTTCAACACCACATGACTAATCAAAACTGCGTGAGGATGGGCGGGTCTGTCTTCCTTATCAAAATAGTGTATACATGAATGGAGCAGCCATATTAAAACACAAGAGATTAATCTTCGCACACAACCAAGTCAAGGGCCTTTAATCCATATAAATCAAAACTGGTCGCCCAGAAAAGAATGCGAATGCTAAACTTTTTTCACTGTAATATCTGAAAGAAAGAAACCCTCAACATAATTGAACCCCTAGATTCAAATAACTACGGTCAAACTGCAAACAATAATGCATATTTTTAATGTTTTCGCAAGTTTCTTGCACCTGTAAGTAATTGTTCCGAACATTGAAAATGGGGAGGAACTTAGTAATCGGGTGCGCTTTAGTTTTTTTCCCTTTTTTTCATAGCAAAATCAGGCACCACAAATAATCAGAAAAATAATGCGTTTCTGCGATGCGCAGAGGATCTACAAGGTTATCCAGCCTGTCTAAGCAAAGTCAGTTTCTCTTATTTCCCCCACATTCCAGTCTGCTTTTTGTCGAGCGAAGCTCTTTTTTGCGACTCAAAGTCGTTTTTTTGCGTCTGGAGTTTTCATGTGGTACTACTACTGCAGCCAAAATCGGTCAGGCTTTAGTAGACCTGCTTGAGGTCAAGTGAGAGCTCGTCCTCACACACCATCATTGCCATGAAAAGGGGATCGATAACACGATCTGATGATCAGAAAGTGAACGCCTAACCACTATGCTAATCATCGGAGTGAGTGATATATAATATTAAAGCCCTTTCAGTCGTGCTTTGAACGACAGTAATAAATTTTCAAAAAGTTGTCTCAGTATCGAAAAAAACAGTTTTAAAAATTTGATTTTTTGTCTTATAAAGAAATCGAGCAGGTAATAGCTTATTTTAATAGCTTAAAATAGCTTATTTTACGCCGTGAAAACTTGGTTTTACTCACGCCAAGGTCGATTTTTGAGTTTTTTTCTGCGTCTTCTATAAAACACTAACTTCAAAAACTCGAAAAAAAAACTGCAGAAAAAAATTGTTTTCCCCAAACAAAAATTGAATTAGTATGATTACCAGCAAATGAAAAAACAAAAATGTAAACAAGAAAAACCGTTTCTTTTTGTTGAAAAAGTATTTAAAATTGCAAAAAAGGACACAAATCCTGGAACAAAATTACACGCACCATTAAAAACTTTACAAAGGACCTTTCAAAATGCTAAAACGAAACCGAATTTTCTACAGGACCCAAGCCGATAAAATAAGCAGACATGAGAGTCTAAAACATTCGAACTCTTTCAGTTTCCACAAAAAAAAACAGGTCCCGAACAAACGGGTCCTGGTCAGATTCGAACCATTGAACTTTGTCTTTGTAGACAGGCACCTTAGCTCTTGACCCAAATGCGCAAACTAACGCCTGATTTTTGATTTCATATGAACCGAAGGTAACATGATTCAAGTGATTCTGTAAAACTAGTTGCTAGCCCGAAAAAAAGCCTATATTCCGGTCTGATATCGCTTGCTAATCGCAAGCGTAAAAAACAAAATTAAGACCACGAAAATAAGACAAAGAAAAACATTTCAACATTATTAAAACATATGAAAAAAAAACAGTTTAATAAATCACAGTGTTTAACTTTTTCCAAAACTTTGCAAAATAATTCAAAATCAAATTTTTCATAAAATCACTTGAAATGTCCAGAAAAAAATTTCGAAACAAAGAAACAATTGGAGGAAAAAGGACAAAAGAAGAAAAAACCAAATAAAAATTTACAAGGCCAAAAACGTTTCGAAAACTTAAAAATTAATTTCGAGAAAAAAGCTTAAGAAGAACAAATGAAATATACAAACAACTGCCTACTTTTGAACTGATTCTAGGAAAAAAAGAATGGAACATCGAAAGTTGGAGCAAAAACATCGAAAAATTTAGTACAGTATTTTTTGGCTCCATAAAAATTTAGGCTTGCTAGTACCCCTGTATATCATTTATAACGGCTATCCTTCCAAATAATAAAGTTTAAATTTGGAATCTTTTCATGTTTCTTTTAAAAGTAATTTTCGAATGTCTGCCAGCGACTTTGACTTTTATGCTTCCAAAAAAATCATTTTCAGAATTTAAACGTTCTGAAATCGGTAAATGAAAGCTATTACTCGGTTGCAACACTCTTGCTATTGCAAATTTGTTTAAGCAAAGTATTAATTGGAAGGCTAGCCAAAATATCAATACGCCCCTTGCGCCCCTTCCTGTAGGCTTCCACTTTCACGTCAGGGAACGCGAACGTCATTAACTTATATCTTCTATCTTATTAGCATAATTTTCAATTCTCGAAACAAAAATTTTAATGGGAAAAAGCATGGAAGTGGCGACACGTGATGAAATCGGGAAAAAGCCTAGTACCCTGTTGCAACACTCTTGCTGTTGCAAAATTTTTAAACCAAAGTAATAAATGGAAAGCTATCCAAAATATCAATTAAACACGGTTCTGAAGGCATCAATTTTCGAAGCATTTAATTCAATTATTATTATATGATTCGAAATGGAGAAAGGACTATATAGGATCAATATGCAGAAAGACTTTAAAACCATAGTACACAACATTTACTATAAAATTTTAACATGATAATGAAAAAAAGATCATTTATTTGTTCGAAATCGGGCAAAACTGTACTCACATCACATGCAAGGAGGTCTACAACGCTAAAGAAGTGCGTTTTGTATTGGTTCTTTCCACGAGAAACATATAATTTTTCAATCCAACAAAGAAGATATACAGTGCATTCTCTCGAGGATTTTCCACCGATGAACATCAAAACATCGGAGGTCAAACTTTCCTTACACTCCAGCTCTGTCAATCTATCGCTATCTATTTTCGGTAAAGCGTTGATTTGTAACTTTTTTTCTGGGCACCATTTGATAGAGGATGAGATTAGTCACGTTAAATAACTCAGCGATTCTAATTTGAAACCGCAGTTTTAATGGAGTTCTGATTAACTTTCGAGATAATTCTCAAGAAAGTTACAAAATAAGTTCTTTTGCTGCTGTTGTCGGCTAATTACTGTCGGAATTCGGTAGAAGGTAATAGTCTGGAATCCAAACTTAATCTGTGAAACGTAAGTTTCTCGAAGCAAGCAGCAGAAAGTGTCCTATCTTAGTTTCTCAATCAATGTGCTGCATCAGGTTCCCAATTGGTGCATGAAACATACCTCAACAAAAGGAAAGTTTGATAAAAAGTAAATTTCAAACGTTTTCGAAACTATGTGAATTATAAGGATTTTTACGATGAACTAACCTAAATGACGATAAAACATAAATGTACGAATGTTATTTACAATATTTCGAATAAATTCACAATATTTCACATTGCCCATCACAGTTGACCTCCAAAAGCATTCCATTAGATTAAAAGTACTTTTATTATATGATTCATATCAAGGCAATCAAACTGATAAAAATGCAGAAAAACATTACAATCATTGTACACAAAATTTACCATAAAAAATATTTATATGATAATGAAAAAATATTTTGATTTAAATTATTTCAAATCGGACAAAACGGTACTCACATCACATGTAAGAAGGTCTATGTCGGACCTGTAGTCGAGTCAAATATGGATTGTATTTTTTTCTAAAAAGCTTTACAAAAAAACACTGGCTCCATAGAAATTTAGGTTTCCCATAGGAGGAACTGTTCAACGCTTAAAATAGTTTTAAAAAAAGCTGTAATCAAAAGCTGCTGATAAATTCAGCCGAACGCTAAAGAACTGTATTACTTGTTGATTCTTTCTATGAGAAACAAATAATCTTCTTCCTCACCATCACCTATATTCAACGGTTTCAGTAGATAATTGGCGCGAAATGGCAATGAGCATTCCTTCGAACACCAATTTATTCTTGCTTCTTTTTTAATTGAGTCTTGTCGAAAGCCAAATAAGTCAAGGGCACAAAAATAAACAGATGACGCTTTTGATTCTATTGACCACGTCACAATTATCAGTTTGTTACTCTTTCCATCCATGAAAGAAGATATGCAGTCTATTCTCTCGTCGTAGCTATGCTCACACGAAGCATAACAATCAAGACGAGATTTATAGAATGCAAGGATACATTTACCAATTCGATCAAAAAAGCAAGGGAAGCTACCAACGGTAACAAATTCATTGACAGGTCTACTCTTAAACTGAACTCGAAAAATAACTTCCTTCTCCGAAAAAGCTTCAATTTCATGTTTTCTGGGATTCCAATAAAACCAATCAACTGAGGAGTACGTATTGCAAGGCCCAAGCACGTCAACACCTTTTGGATACATCACCTTCCTCCAAAAAGGGGTTCTACTATCCCAGCCTCCTACGTCACAAACGAAAGCCTGTTTCCCTCCTCCGTGCAACTGGCTGCAAACGACAACTAAATGGTTGTTAAAGTAATAAACATGAT